TTGAATCGTGAATGTTCAAACGTTTTATATGGATAAAAAAGATGCGTACGACACAAACGAGATATAATATTGTCTCGTCCAATTTAAATTATTTTGTACAAAGAGAAAATATAACATTTTGAATACTAAAATGAAATTGAATTTTACCTTCCACATTGCTTTGATTTAAAAGTTGATCGATAATGTTATTCTCATCAGTGTAATCACATTGATTTGATTTAAAAGTCAATCGATAATGTCGTTATTCTCATCAGTGTGATCACATTGATTTGATTTAAAAGTCTATCGATAATGTCGTTATACCTATCAGTATGATCACATTGATTTGATTCAAAAGTCGATCGATAAAGTCTTTATTCTCATCAGTGTGATCACATTGATTTGATTCAAAAGTCGATCGATAATGTCGTAATACCTATCAGTATGATCACATTGATTTGATTTCAAAGTCGATCGATAAAGTCGTTATTCTCATCAATATGATTGCCTTGGCGCGCCAAAAAATACGTCAACCCATGTTTAGAGAATTTTAATATTTTGTGACAGTTGAGTTTTCCAAAGGAACCAAAACTAATGTTGATCTAATTTTGGCAACAAAAGGTGCACTCAAAACGAAATCAAAACTAAAAAAATACAAAAGCCTTTTCACATAATTTTCGATTTTATTTTAGTATAGAAAAAGGAAAACAATGGTTGTTAAAATGAATTTGCATTGTTCCATGATTTATGACATTAGTGACATTGCCATCATGAATCACTTGACCAGTTTGGTCAGTAGTACCTTAAATCCATTTTTAAACAATTCCACTGTTTTATAAACATCGGTTTTCATTGCAAAATCTAATAATAATTATAATAATAAAGCTTTACCTCCAACTAGCTACAATAATCTTGTCATTTGTTTTCTTTTTTATCGACGGTAAATAAGAGGTAATCAATATTATCCGTTTAAATGAAAGACTATAATTATGGCATTATTTTATAGCCGCATGATAAATAATTATCAGTTTCTTTGATAATCTATTTGAAAGTGAAAATACAAGTTACAACATCGGTCTAGCATTAAATGCACATACGTGTAGATAAAAGCGTGTGCCCAAATTATGCAATACCAATGGCTTGGAATTAGATTCTTTGATGCTGTAGTCTCCAGTTTTACAGAATGAACAGTTGAATGGTCTGTATTGTATACATTATGAACATATTTGCGTTATTTTGTTATATCTCTGGTACGTCTGCAATATGCAATTTTCATGAGACTGGTTGAAGTAAATAATTTACTTTTCCTTTTTTCTACATGAATTAATCTTTATGATTTGTATAAGAACAAATTTGTGCTCACGTTTAATTTTTTTCACTGTTGTTTTATTTCCAGGTAACGATTAGATTAGGAGGTTATAGTTCAAAACTCATTCACAGGAAATATAAGACAGGAAACAGAGCTGACAAAATCCGTTCACGCAAACATAATAGAAATGATTTGTCTGGCTTTTGTCATTGTCACAAAATATACCGCTACTAGCATAACATTGTCTTTTATGGCTTCAAAGTCAGTCTTAGTAATTTGCAATTACAATTGATCACGACCAGACATAGAATATAAATCGATTCTTTGTTGTTTTAGTCGATACGTCTTCGCCTAAAATATGGAAAGACTAATAATTGTAAAAGCCACTCCCATAATTAAACCAGTAATTTCGTCTGCAGAGTGTTTAATTTGTTTTATATTCACACAAAGCAAAACTATAAATGATAAAAATACTGTTATAGAAACACGAATCAATGCCAATCAATGCTTAGTTTCCTAAAAACTTTTAAATATTCGTAATCTTGCTGTGCATGAGAGAGAATACGTAAATGAAATTGACTGATAACCGATTATAACAAGCACACAACACAACACTGCAAACGATTTTCATTTTCATCTGTTTTTCAAAGCATGTGATAACAAAAGATTTTATGACGCTTAATTATATATAGTGCGTGAGAACAAATACATATCTAGAAATTATCAGAACTGTTTTGGACACACTTAATATAAAGTTAAAGCGATTCATATTCGCATCGAATTTATTATTAAATGTATTTAATATAGGTGTTACGTTTCGAGGCTGGTACAAATGTACCAAAGAAAAGAGTCAAGCCAACAAGCTTTATAAGATTCAACAAAATAATGTATTCCCTAAAAAAAAAACAACAAGGTATCAATATCAGAAAGGACTTTCGGTTTATAAAAGTAATCCAAAATCTAACCAAAGAATTAAAAATATAGGTCCAATCAACAAAAAAATCCTAATTGACTCACAGTTCGAATCCCGCCAAAATTCCAAGATGGAAGGCGATGATATCTTCAATAGCCCGCTTTTTCCAGATGCGTATAGAATTCCTTGTTGAATCATCAATAATAATATAAAAGCTTGGAATTTAGAATAATTTTTAATAAATGTATATGTCACATAAGCACTAAGGAAAGTAAACTATTAATTCCGAAAAATAAAAAAATAATTAATTTAGCTCAAACTGGTCACAAAAGCACCTTTGAGCTCCAAATATCAACAACAAGACTAGTCAAAATCACTATAATAACGTATGTTTGAAGACTAACTAAAACGCACAGTAGATCACCCGATAAGGTCACGTGATCACTTCCCTTTATCGTCGTAGAAAAATCACTTTCGCTATGTACGGTTTTGACTATTAAATGAATATTACTATAAGTTTCAATAATAATTTCTTTTAAATTATTCACTACAAACACGAAACTGGCTCTGAATCTAGGTCACAAAAAAACAATTTTTCTACTAATGCTTGTTTATCAGGTCAAAACAAAAGGAATTGATTTTTGATGGAAAATATACAGTGAATAAAGTTATCATTACAGTAACATGTAATGGAATAAAAAAAAGAAGAAAGAAAATTTAAAAACTAATAGACACATATAATTAAATGGCATATACATAACACTAGGAAAGCCTTGTTACGTCTAACTTCCCAGATTACCTGGGATAAATATCAGTCTGTCATTGTTCGATACTTAAATCTTATTAATCTATATTGTTATAATTATTGTAAACAACACCAATCGATGTGTTTAGTCGTGTCTAAAGCGGTAGCCAATGCTGTTATTATGCACTGCTGAAACTTTTTTAGTTTGATCATGTTCTTGCTATGTTTTAAAATTTGTTTAATTCTTGCTTAAGTTGTATTTTGTTTAATATAATCGTTGAACTAAGAAGCAATATCAAGCTCGTACATTATTGGTACTGCAAGATATATATTTTATAACCGATACCGTAAATGTAAACATTTGAAACAATAGAACAACGTAGAAGAAGTCATTCTTAATTTTGTTCAATACCCGCCTAGGCCACTCTAGATAGATCGCCTTCGTGTGTTCTTGGGATATGTACTTAGTTTCCATTTCTCCGGTGTGATATGCGTAAAAATGTGTTAAAAGCGAGGTTAGAACCAACCTAAACAAAACTTATTTTGGACTCCATTTTGTCTTTGCTGTAAATTGTATTATGACTTCTACCTGACCTGAAAATCATGAGTTTAAGACTCATTTATAGAGAAACGTAGTTAATATTGATAGATGTATATATGTGTGTTTAGGCATGAGTAATGACTCTATAGTCACAAAGGTAAGAAGAAGAAAAGGAACTAACCAAAAACGTTTTGGAAAACTCAATCAAAAACGTGAGAGAAACCTACATTATAATGAAGTGATTCCAAATTTGTCTTTATAAAAGTCTTGGAAAGTCCTAAAGAAATCAAAGGTTCCATATAATTTCTATAACGGAAATGTACTGGTCTTCCAAGAAACGTGACGTTGTCAAGACAGCGTTGTCCAGAATTCTTCAAATAATCTTAGTTCCATAATAATATTATTGTCCAAACAATAAGCACTTTGTTTTCCCTCTCATGAAATAGATAACTACAGCTTAAGCTACGACTGCAGACGTATATCAGAAATACAAAAGTGTAAATGGCTCCAGAAATAGAAATTGAACTGAATGTTTAACTTTCTCCTTATATAAACAGTAAATTGCGATTGTATTTTGCAATGGACCCCACATGACAACATATACTATTGATTTACGACGTACTAAGTCGAGATGAATTATATTCACATGAACTCAAGCAACCAATGTGGAAGCCGCATAATTCTTTACAAAACTTCCATATCCCATCATTCACTGAGACAGTACGCTATAGGCGCCATTTTAAGTCTTATTATCACGACTTTTATTACTAATTATCAACACGTACTTAAACAATTATTTATAGATCCTACGTGATTTGCGTTTTTAACAGACACATTCCGCACCCAATTTATAACAAAATAAATTCTAGACAGATTATAACCATGAATAAATATTACGAAAATTAAATAAAATCATATACAAGAAGTTACAGAAAATACAGTTATTCATACTGTATGAATGATTGGCTAGATATTTTGGTATAATTTCTAAACATGAACGTGTTTAAAGAAATTAAAGAATAACTCTACTCCCAAAATGAAATAATTGATTTCTCAATAATCGCAGTAAAGAATAAAAACAAACACCATTCTGTCATGAATATCTGTTATTGAAGTTTGTTGGATTAAATTTTTAAAAAAATCTTAAAAGTCTATCATTGTATTACTACTGCGGAGAAGAAACAAATATTGCGAATATTCGCATTTCTTGCATGATAAACGCAATACCTATATCATTGCGAAAACACGGTTATGTTAGAAATATGTAATTAAATTGCTTCTGTTTTAGTTTAAAACTCTTTTTTTAGTTTTGTTTCATATTTTAATTATCTTGATAATTTTCATTGGATTTGAATCTCTTTTCAGACAATTCACTTGACCTGATTATAATGTAACAGTTTCATTATCACTATTTTAGTTCACATTGGTGGAGACGTTTGTAAACATTGAATGAAAATGATTGGCTATTACCAAGGTCATATTCAGCCAAAGTGTTAACTCTTTTGCAATAACCGCTCTGGTGGCCTAGTGGTTAGAGCGTCCGCCTCGGATGTGGGGGTCGTGGGTTCGATCACGGGTCGATTCACACCAAACACTTACAAAAATGGTACTAACAGCAGCCTTGCTTGATGCTCAGCATTAAAAGTTTAGTGTTAGGACTGGTCGGCCTGCTGTCAGGATAATGTGACTGAGTGGGACATGATGCTACATGTCTAAGGAATGATGCTACAGTGCTAGACATCAATATAAACTGTCACACTGCAGACTTCGTAGTGATATGACTGAAAAATGTTAAAGCTACGTTAAAGATCATAGGCACATCACATCACTAATCCTTTGCAAACAAATCTTTTTTATTTTGGGGGGTTAAAAAAATCTAATTGTAAGATTCATTAGGTGCGATCAAATCTTTCGATGACATACGTGTCAATTGCCTTATGAGCTGTTTGCGACTTTACAAATTATTGACCATGTGAGCCAACATGTGATCTACAATCATGGGTTAAAACAGCCATTTTAGAGTAAATTTTTCAGTTCTATGCTTACAACTTAGGTCTCATAGTGTGTTAAATTGTCGAAGTAAGTTTGTTTTCAAGTTCATTTATTTTTGGGATATAATAATTCAGATTCGCTAGAAATAAATTCTGGGACAAAAACATCTAGCTGAAATTTATTATGTAATTCTAAACGGAACATTATAAATTGTGTTTCAACAAGGAAATATTGCCACCAGTGCAACGACCTTTGAGATTCAACCTGGATTCAAACTGGAACTTTTAGTGATAGGACTTATATATTTCAATTTCAGGATCAAATTTTGGAATAAGTTCACACAAATTAAGTCTTATTTCATAATTTTACCTTGTTTTCAAAGGATATAATAATTTTGTTAAAATTTACAAAGCTTTTTGACATCACTATTTTCTTTTGTAAACTTTTTACGAGCCTATCCGTAACCCGAAGAAAATTGTGGGATCGTCCGTGATATACAAATTTTGTATAAAACTTGTTAGTAAATTGTTTTTGAAATTTAAATTCCCCTAGTTTTTTAAAATCCCAAGTAATTTTCGTAATTTGCTTGAATTTATTGTGCAATCTTCACAATGTCATCAAAATTGGAAATTTTCTTTCTAGCCCTACTCAGGAGCCGTTAGTTTGTAATATGATCTTTCTGGGGCAAGATCTTCCTTAAATAAGCAAGAAATTAAAAGCATTTTTTTATTCAGCATCTGGTAGAGAAGAATGTTTTTGATAAAAGTGTTTTGGCTCCTGTCAGTAAATCGGTATCAGACTCTAACGTAAAAGTTAAAGAATTAATAATAAAATACAAGATGACATTAGAGATAAGGAAGCTTGAGCAATAGAAAGAAAAAGAACAAATGTTTTTGGAAAAATTAGGAAACATAATGATGAACAAAAGAAATTACAATCTAAGAAAAAGGAGAAAGAGAATGATAAAGAAATAGAATTAGAGTTACAAAAATAACAAATGCACTTACATATGCACATCCAAAACGAGTAACAGGGAGTTTCAACTTAGAGTCAATGGAACTGAGCTGGCAAGTGAAAAGCACATTTCCTTTCCATGTACAAATTCAAATTGAAACGTTACAAAGAATGTTAGTACCCAATTTTAGCGAAAATTAAGTAGACAAATATTTATTTAATTTGAAAAGTTTGCTGAAAATTTGAAATGCCAAGGGATCATAGGACTGAGTTATTGCAATATGTACTTTGGCAAAGCCAGAAATATATATGCATCCATGCCGGTACAGATGACGTATGACCATGATTTGGTTAAGAAACGCATTTTAAAGAGTTATGCGTTAGTCCCTGAAACGTTTCGGCAAAAATTTAGGAACTATAATAAAGAAGCTGTACAAACTTTATTTTTGATTTTGCAAGAGAAAAAGAATTAGTTATTTAAGAGATGTGTTTACTAATATATAATTAAACTGCTTGAAGAGTGCAAGAACTGTGTGCCTAATGACATTAAAAATCATCTTGAAAAGCATGAGATTAAAACCTTAGAAAATGCTGCTCTTGCTGCTGATCAGCATTCCTTAACTCATAAAGTTTCTGTTGTAGGCAAATCGTTTACTCATCAGTCTACTGGTAAAGAGCAATTCATCCTAATATGATTCCTTCTAAAACTCTGTCTGGCACAACGTTTGAGAATCCCTTGTCTTATCCTACGTGCATCTATTGCAAGACAACTTACACGTTATTTCTGACTGCTTCAAATTGAAATATAAACATCTGAATCAGGATAAGCCTTTAGCAAATGCTCATATTTCTAAAAGGTCAAGGTCACGGTCACGTATTGAAAGCAATACATTTGTTGGGTCTAATAAACCCCAGTCTGATTATAGAGAATTATGAACCATCTATGTCGAAGGGTTCTATATCACTCTTGAGTGATTTGGCCAATCATATCCTTCATAATATTTTAAGGGATACAGGAGCTTCTCAAAGTCTTTTAATATCAGGTTCCTTGCATTTTTTCTGCGAAGTCGTGTTCTAATAAGAGTGCTTCACTCAAGAAGTAGAACGCGTCTTTGTTGATGTTCCTCTCCATACTGTAAAGCTGTCATCAGACATAGCTTATTGACATGTGACAGTCGGAATAGTGTTTAACTTACCCGTTGAGGGTATTCGTTTGTTGCTATGCAACGACCTAGCTGGAGATACGATTGTGGTTAATCTACTTGTAACTGACAAGCCCTCTTGGGATCAGAAATTTGATCCAATTGAAAAAGAATACCTTCACCTATACCCAGCTTGTGTTGTTACTATAGCTAATGCAAAGACAGATCTTGAGAATGAATTTGATAAGGCAAACATTCCTTCAGCTTACACATGTATTAGTCAGGCTTTTGATGATGACTCTTTCACTCCTGTTTTGAATGAATCAAATGATATTGATGACAGTCATCATCCTTTATTTACTCATTCCATTTTATCGAATCACGGTGACAAACGACAATTACTTGTCGTCGAACAGGAAAATGATTCTGATATATCCTCTTTGTTTCCAAAAGCCATTAGTAAAAGTGAAGCCACCTAAGTACCTGTCTTTTATTTTATTAAAACTGGAATTCTTATCAGAAAATGAACTGTATCTGACGGGTTGTCAGTGAACAATCAGATTGTAGTTCCAAAATTGTACAGACAGTAAATACTTAGTTTGGCCCATAATATTCCTCTGGCGGGTCATGTAGGGATAAATAAAACTTATCACAAGATCTTCACTCACTTATTTTGGCCAATTATCAAAAGTGATGTTTGTAAATACTGCAGATCTTGTCCTAATTGTCAAATATTAAAAAATGGTAAGAAAATCCAATCAGAAGAAAACTAAGGCTCGTCTACAACCTATTTCTGCATTTGGCAAACCATTTAACAAAATCACTAAAGATTGTATTGGTCCCTTACCTAAGATTAAGTCAGACAACCAATATTTGTTGACCATTATGCGTGCGTCAACAAGATTCTCAGACACAATTGCGTTGAGGAATATTTAAACCGAAAACCATAATAAAAACTTTGATAAGCCATTTTTATTCAGTTTGGCCTTCCTAAATTTGTTTAATTAGATCAAGGATCAAATTATAGTTTATGTCTGAAATTTTCAAGATCAAGGATCAAATTATAGTTTATGTCTGAAATTTTCAAGCAAGCTATACACAAATTATGCATTCAACAATTTAAATCTTCTGTCTATCACTCTGAGTGCCAACGAGATATAGACAGATATCATCAGACTTTAAAGAATATGATTACGGTCGTATTGATTTGATAAGAGTTAAGATTGTGATGTACGCATTTACTTTTCTTTGCTGTTATGGAGTCCGTTCAAGAATCATTAGGATTCAGTCTCTATGAACTAGTTGTGGACGCACTGTTAGATCCATTGATTTGAAAGAGAAGTTTCTGTATAATGAAGATAGTAAACTCAATCTTCTTGATTATATTTCTGATACTAAGTACAAATTTTCAAAGTTTGTGTGGTCGCAAGAACAAATCTGCAGTCTACTCAGTCAGAAATGAAATCAAGATATGACAATAACTCAAGGGGAAGGAGTTTTAAAGCTAAAGACAATGTTCTAGCTCTCTTGTACATAGCAAACAAAAAGCCCCTTCAGGCGAAGTGTTATGGTCCGTACACGGTTGGAAAGAATTTAAATGATTTAAATTATATCATAAATGCTCCTGGAAGGACAAAAAACAAACAATTTTGTCATGTTAACATGTTAAAGGAGCATATTGAGAGAGAGACAGAGAGAGAGAGAGAGAGAGAGAGAGAGAGAGAGAGAGAGAGAGAGAGAGAGAGACAGAGAGAGAAATACCCAGGTACATCATGCAATTAATTCAGTTGCTGTAGTTATCCCACTCACTGAGGATTTAAGTGAAGACATTCAATCGGACTCTGTCGATCTTGGAACAAAAAAAATCTTTGGAATTGAGAAATTATGAAAAATATGGACCAGAAACGTTTGCATTTGCAACAAGAAGAAAGAAATGAGCTTAAACATTTATTATTCGAATATGAGCACTTCTTTCCAGATAATCAAAACAAAATTTTCATGACGTTGAAATTGAAGATTTAACACATGTGAAGTAACATTATACAAGATAAACCATCTCAAACACGAATACTTTAAAAAGTAAAATAGTATTTGCTGAAGAACGATTTCATAGAGCCCTGTAAAAGTGCCTGGAGTTCTCCATGTATACATGTTCAGAAACCAGATAAAACTTACTGTAGGTTCACTGAATATAGAAAGGTGAAAAGTGTGAAAAAAATCAGATTCATTTCCATTGCCATGACTCGATGGCTGTATTGATAATATTGTAAATGCCAACCAAGTCACTAATGCTTCACATTATATAAGGTTTTCATGTTTGTTACTGTGACGCGTTGGATTAGAATGTTGAGCACCCTAAGGTGTTTCTCTGCTCAGTTCGATGTGTTGGATTTGGATAATTAACATTATATGGTATTTTCCTATTTGCTATAATGATGTGTTGAAAATTAATGCTTAACATTATATGGTGTTTTTCTCTTTGCTATGGCGATGTGTTGGATAATAA